ACAAATGTTGTTCTTTAGAGTTCTGTGACATGTAGACCTATATTCTTAGTTAACCCATATGATACTTCTATGAAGAAGGTATGATCCCATTTTAGACATAAGAAAACTGACCCTGAGGATGAGGTTAATAAACTTGCCCCAAATCACAGACTTATTAAGTGGTAGAGCTGGGATTCAAATCCAGGTCTGTTGATTCCAAGGCCAATGTTCTGCCCTTTATTGCTACACTTCACTGCTTTCCACAAGAGGCTAACCCACCAAGCCCCTTGTTATCTATAAATCTGATTAGCACACCTAGTCCTTACTCTGAACTAAACTTGCCCTGAACTAATAAACCTTCCCAGCTACTCTATATTATATACTTACTTTACTTCACAAACTAACAAGAGCCCTCTTAGGCATAGTTATTCAGTAAGTAACAAATCTATATAACATTATCATCCACCCACATTTCTCTACATTTGAAGTCTATCTCTCTCCACTCAATTATAGGACTCATCTACTCTTACTGTTAATGAAAGTCAAGTCTGGAAAATTACTTATTAGATTTCATAGGTAGATTTTTATTTTATTTTTAATTTTTTTTTAAGATGGTATTTATTTATTTGACAGAGAGAGAGCACAAGCAGGGGGAGCAGCAGGCAGAGGGACAGGGAGAAGCAGGCTCCCCACTGAGCAGAGAGGACCCTGGGATCATGACCCCAGCTAAAGGCAGACACTTAACTGACTGAGCCACCCAGGCACCCCCATAGCTAGCTTTTTAAAATTAAGTATTAACATTGTTGATTATGCATTTTAATGATCTTTTGCGGATAAAATTTGGTAATCCTATGAAAAGATTACCTTTTGAAACAACAGTTCCACTTCTAGCAATTTATCCTATAAAAAACACATTTATAAAACGGCACAAAAATACACAAAGATGTTTATTATAGCATCATTTGTAATAAAAGAAAGTAGTGCAAACAATATCAATATCTACGAATAGCAAAGTGGTCAAAACATGATGGTACATTGATACAGTGGATTAGTTAGCAATTTAAAAAATGAGGAATGGGCGCCTGGGTGGCTCAGTTGGTTAAGCGACTGCCTTCGGCTCAGGTCATGATCCTGGAGTCCTAGGATCGAGCCCCACATCGGGCTCCCCCTTCTCTGTGGGGAGCCTGCTTCTCTCTCTGCCTCTGCCTGCCACTCCCCCTGCTTGTGCTCATTCTCTCTCTCTCTGTCAAATAAATAAATAAAATCTTTAAAAAAAATAAAAAATAAAAAATGAAGAAGATTTATAGTTACTAACATGAAAAGGATAACACTGTTAATAGCAATACTCTGGTGAAGGGGGTATATTACATTTCAGTAATGCTTTTTTTCTTTTACATGAGCACATGCTGCTTTTGTAAGCAGAATGAGCAAAGAAATTAAAAATAAAATGCACTGGTATGTGTAATGGTCCTTGGAATCCCTTAGGGGCTACAGCCCTATTTTCCTCTTCTCTCTCCACATATACTAATGTGTGCATTCAAATACTCTGGTGCCCTCTCTGAGCAAGGAACTTACTAGGTTCTGGGTAATAAAGTCAGTGACAGAGTCCCTACCCTCATGCAATGCCCTTTTGATAAAGCCGGGGTGGAAACAAGAACCGCTAGCTTATCCAGGAACTGGTTCAGAAATTTGAGAAAAGGTCCAAATCCTATGCCATGCCTGAGCATGAAAGAGTTGATGAAGAAAGACCTGAACCATTTTACAATTAACTTTCACAGACTTCTGTACAGTATGACCATCAAGCAGAAGTTACCAGTTTTTGACATAGCAGAAGCAACCAAATCCTTGATCATTATTCTCAAACAAGTGATAGAAGAGACAAAGAATACCAAAAACAGAAAGAAGTGCAGTCTGGCCCCAAATCCCACATGTTCATAAAAGAGAAGACCGAGAAGATCAAAGAGATTACCAAAAACATTCAACAGAGTAATTTTCAGAGCTTTGCTATAGCTTCTTTCATTTCCTCACAATTCTGCCCCTTTTTATTTCCAGCCCCTGCTCCCTAGAAAAACCTGTGGTGCATATTTATACTTTTAAAAACCACTTCTTTTCATTGAGGAAATTCTGAAGTAAACAGAAATCCAATAATTATTATCTTGGCAAAAGAAAAGGTGACTTCTATGTGATTTAAACATCCCTGCGTAATCAATTACTAATCCTCAGGATATAAAAGAAATGGTACAAGACTTACAATTTTTTTTAAAGTTACTTTAATCAGTGTTTCCATTTTATTCCTCAACTACTGGTTATCTTATTGTGCACCAATGAGAGCACAAAGGTTAGTATGGTCTTCTGCCACCTATCAGTTGAAATATTCCCAAAAGCCGTTCTTCAAAGGACCTCCCCACCTCCTCTGTAACTAACAATTCCTAAAGGCAATTTATCTCCTCTCCTGTAAGTTTCTCCACAGTCAATAACCTAAAATGTTTTAGTGTGGTGCACACCTACCCTGTGGTCCTGGTTTGCAGCTGTATAGCTCTGTTAAGTTTCAGTTTTGGTTTCTTTGTATAGGCTCTAAAATTCTATGTCACCGTTTAGCCCTGATGCTCACTGAGGCAAATCCTACACACACAATAAGTGGTAAGCACAGTATTGGGTAAGGAGTAAACAGACCTGGATTCAAATTCCCTGACACCTGTGAGGTGTCTGGCATTGGGCAAGTTATTTAACCTTAGAGACCTTTCCTTATTTCCTTATTCTCTACCTTATGACCCACAAAAGAATATAAATAATATAAAGGCACAGTATGCCTTCGATTTGTGATGAGTTCCCACTTACCAAGTTTTTACTCTTGATAGTTTCTGTATTTTAATACTTTTTTGATTGTTTCTAAACAATCTTCACTGACTAGACAGGAATTTAGTTTTTAACAAATTAGGAGGTGATTTCATTCAAAAACATTCATAACTACTTTGTAAGGATATGCAGGATGACAATTTAGAACTGGCAGAAAATGTATCCAGTGGCATACACAGCACAGCGCTAAGTTTATGTATCTCCTGTACCATACAAAACTGAAAGAGAACTTCAGCAGAAGTAGAGAACATTATCTTTCCACAATGTTCATGATTAAACAGAACATTAGCTACAAAACAGCCTCTGTCATTTTGCCAGGGGATACTAAAATCTTGAATCCAGTGCTTCACTTCTTTACCACTTTTGCAGGTCTGAGTTCCAATTACTGCTAAGCAAAATAAATAGAAGACGATATAATTAAGAGTAGAATTCACTCCAAAGAATGTGATATGTGCTTTTTTCCCCAATGAAATTCCAAGACTTTCAGTTGAGGAAAGAAAGAAGGTAGAACATTCAAATTTACAATATGCTGAATGATCAAAAAGCAAAATCTTTGCATAAATCATGAAACACAGCCCAAACATGTAAACCCTCGGATAAAAAGTAGTCACAGACTTATTAACTGTAGCATCACACGCTGCTGCAAATATAACAATCCCATGCCTCTGATCTGTCAACTCAGGCACTGCTCCCTATAAGAGGTATTCTTCTACTGAAAATTACAATCATCACACATCTAAAGATGGTGCAGGAAGCAGCATTATTCATTTCTGGTACTAGAAAAGCAGTGAACTTATTTTAGCTTGCTTATATTTAAAATTCTCTTTCGGCCTTAACACACAAGAACTTATTAAATAAACTTTTTAAAAAAAATATAGTTATCTAAACGTGTGGATATATAAATTGGTCTCTTCTCCACATAAAAATAAAAACTTTAGCTATATTCTACTTTCTCCCTCCTAGGAGCCAGTGCCTCAAAGGCCCTCTAAATATACCGCTCCAGCGTTTACTGTGTCACTTTGGTGTAGAAATTCTTTCCTTAAATATGGAAAGAACTATGCAGTAATGATTCAAAGAGGCTATATTAATTGTAAAGCCAAATCACTGCCCTGCAAAGTCGATTACGACAGGTTCTCTTAGCTGAGTTTTTTAGAGCTACCAGCAAGAAGGCACAATCCGGAGCTGCGACGTTTCCCGTGTCGCCGCTGGCTGGACCGATGGGTAAGCTGGAAAAGGTGATCGACATACCTGGAGGAAGCTGCAAATTAGCAGGCAACTGGATTGTTGTGGTGTTGGGGGCTTTCACAGCGACTATCTGAGGAGCAGGCAGCGGGGGGCCGCTGCTGAGTTTAGGAAGAGCACTGACAGGAGCCACTTTGGTCACCAGGGTCCCCACGGGGGACCGCAGGGGCTGGGACACCGTGGACTCCACGCAGACACTGACAGGAGCCTTAGTCACGGCGCCCAAGGCCACCGGGGTGCTCTCCACACGGACAGGCACAGTCCCAGCGGGGGCCATCGTCACGGTCCCGGAGGCGCTCACACCGGCGGGGGGGGCGGCGCCGGCCGGTTCCGTGAGGCCCGCGGGCATCCCCAGGTGGATCAGCGGCAGCTGCGACGCTGCCGTTCCGGGAGCAGAGGCGAGGGGAGGCTTGACAAGCGGCAGCCGACTCCAGAGCAGTTCCGGCTCCACAGCATCGCTAGGGAGAGGCGCAGGGGCCGCGACACAGAAGTCAGGGACGGGCGCCGGCTGCACACTGAGACCCGCGCGTCCCGGACCTCCCTCTGGTCCGTGCGGCCCCGGCTGCAGCGACACCGGCTCGGCCGCTCGCCGCTTCCTTAGCGGCGCTCACACGTGCGCCGGCTCAGCCGCGGAGCCCGGCTGCGGGGTTTCCGGAAGGGCGTCACTTCGGCTCCCACCACCCAGCAAAACTCTGCGCCCTGGTTCCCCCGCCAGAAGTTTCAAAACTACAAACCCGAGCGCCCCAAAGCCCCCTACACACACTCAGCGTGGCCCCGCCGCACGGCCACGCCAGCCATGTTTATATAGCCACGCGGAGACCTCGCGCACGCGCACAGGCCGCCGCCGCCGCCCCGGGCTTCCCCCGGAATCCGGCCCTGTCATTGGCCACAGACTGGAATCGCGCTCGTGACGTCACTAGGGACGGCTCCAGAGGGCGTTAGAATCTTCCCCAGCATCAGGAAGAAGGAGGGTCAAGTTGCCAAAAACCTACCACGTGGGAGGGGCAGACCGCACTTGGAGAACTGCGACATTCGGGTTCCTCTCCTTGGTATCCCCAGTGGTATGTTCCTTTAAAATCCAGGAGTGTAATTTCCACACGCTTTTACTTTGAGGAAAAAATGGGGACTGGCTTCAGAGAATGGTAACTCAGTAAGACTTAATCACGCGTCCTCTTGTTTTTCTGCGAGCTTTGCCCTAAAGCGTCGCAAAATGAGCATTACAATTGACATTGTGAAAAAAAATGTCCATTTCTTTCTTTTAAATGTTTCAGAATGGCGTATAATTTTATAGCCTGTAAAATATGCCTATTTTCCTATGACTTTAGAGTTGAACTGCCCCAAGGGAAAATCGTTTTCTTCCATTGGGCGGCTATAGATACCTCTTGTCACCTCTAAACGTAAATTGTTTACATTTTGTATCTCCTTGAAAACTGGGACAGTGTCTTTTGATTCCTACATTCTCAGATTCTAGCAATTAGATTTTAACTGCAATCCTAAATATTTGAAAAAGTGAGAAGTGTTTGTTAAAGGAATCAATTAAGTCCAATATACGGGAAAACTTGCTCCTTAGAGATCTAGTTAGAGAAGATGCCTTGATTTCAGGCTTTTGTCGGAAGATTATGTTTGTAGGAACCGACACTATAACTGAAGGAGATTTTGCAAGTGGGCAGGCAAGGTGATCTTTACAGCTGCTAGTTTTCTCCCTTCCTGTAAACTCCAATGGACAGGATCTACAGCCCTCACACTTCACTACATTTGCTGTCTCTCCCATGTCAACCAGTCCAAATCAAGAAACCATCTTATGATTCAAATCATTTACAACCTTCCCCATTCATGAAGACTAAATGATCACGTGGTCTCTAGAAAACAGTGGAGTTGGGGAGAGGGTAAATTTATGAAGGGCCCCTTGTGTGCTGGTCACTAAGAGGTATTTTGTTTTAACAGCCGTTTCATTGTATTGACTTAAAAACTGCAGTTAGAAGAGTAATTTTCCAAGGAACTGGGATCCAAAAGTCTGTATGAAACCAAAGTACATCTCTTTCCATTATCTCCACAAATGTGTAATTCATCATATATCCCATATGCCCCTGGCAAAATGCCTTGCATATAAAAGTGTTTAATAAATATTTGCTAGATGAATTAAATAGATCGATGCAACATTTTCAGTGAAGCAATAAGGTCTAGTGGTTTCGAATCTCAGATCTACTTTTTCCTAGCTGGGCAAATTGTTTAGCCTTGTTTTTTTCTCCATAGAATGTAATTCAATAAATACTCGTAGATGGAAGGCTCAGAGTTTGCTCTGAGGACTCTCCCTTTCTAAACTTTCATTAGACCCCACCCCCAACTCACATACTTTGTTTAGACATGTAAATAACCTCAATCAAGTTACAAAGAGGGTTGGCTGAGGAAGTACAGCTTTCTCTTTAAAGTGACCTTGGACATTTTGTTCTAATTGTTTATGTTTGCTCTATTATTTGTCTCATTGCTGGGAACTTTAATTTTCTAGTTGCAAAGAATATACTTTTTACCCAGCACAAGTAACTACTGTCCTGAATTTGGAGATTAGTGATAATTCTGTTTGCTACATTTCCTTTCTACAGAAACTTATACTAAAACAGGATATGTAGGGAAGCAAAATGCATTTTATCTCTCTATGTGAGAAAAGACAAAAATGCAGGGGAAGATTATACCTTGATTTTTATTATGTGTATCTGTTGAAATATTTGTAAAATTAAGGATGTTGAAAAATACTTATTAATTTACCTTCTGTCTTTGTTCAGGCTGCTGTAACAAAATACCACAGACTGAGTGGTTTTTTAAAAATTGAATTGTAATTTACATACAATATTATATTAGTTTCAGGTATATAACAGCAATTCAATATTTTTACACATTATGAAATGATCACCTTGAGAGGACTAGCTACTGTCACTATAAAGTTATTATAATATTAATGACTATTCCCTATACTCTAGATTACATCCCCATGACTTATGATTTATTTATTTTGTAACTTGATGTTTATACCTCTTAATCTCCTTCTCCTAGTGGTGATTAGGTGATGGGTGGCTTACAAACAGCAGAAACTTATTGCTCACAGTTTGGAAACTGGAAATCTGAGATTGGGGTGTTGGAATGGTCAGGTGAGGGCTTTCTTCCAGATCATAGACTTCTCCACATGTCCTCAAATGACAGAAGGAATAAAGAATCTCTCTGGATCCTCTTTCATAAGGTACAGATCCCGTTCATGAGGGTCCCACCCTCATGATTTAAGTACCTCCCAAAGGCCCCACCTACTAATACCATCACATTTGGGAGTTGGGATTTCAACATATGAATTTTTGGAAGACACAAACATTCAGACCAGATAGGACCTTCTAAATGAGGGACATTAATTCATTAAGTCATTAATTGTCCAAATACTCTGCTCATCAACTCAGGTAATGGAATAAAACTGTGAACAAACACAGAATTTATATTTCCAAATTTTAGTATTTTACACACATACATGAACACACTTTAATTTGGGCAAAACCAAAGGCTAAGGGTACAATTACCGGGTGGACAATGCAAATTACTCTTACTGTCCTTTTGATTTTCCATATGTCTACAGTCTCCTCAGAAAATGAATAGAAGTTTACTACTCCGTAGAATTTAAACAGGAAGGCTTCTTTATCTGTGAAATGAAATCAGCTGAAAACTCTGAGAAAACCTAACTATTTGGCTAAGATGGTTATGGCCTCAGCTTCAAATTGAGTCAGAAACCAATGGCCTCAAGCTCTATACCTTGAACCTGGTCCAGTATCTGTGCTTTTACATCAAAAGATTTAAATACTTTTCTGCTGTAGAACACGTTCCTACAACACCATTCTGTCATTCCTGTCCTCTTAAAGGAATGCAGCTTAAAGTATTAAGAAGTTTGACTTCATTAATGACTTCCATTTTTTTAGGCCTTCACTAAAGGTTTAATGAAGTCTGAGACACTTTTAATGCTCCTACAAAAAGTGGATACGTCGGAAAGATCCTATCGTAAGAGATGCATCACACTATGGAATATGAATCAGCTACTCAGATTTATACTTGCAGAGGTACGTTAATGGAAAAATGATTATGGTATATTGTTAAATGTAAAAAGGAGGTTATATAATAGTATAGAAAGAATGATTCCATTTTTTTGTAAACTAAAAGGAAAAAATTTAACCAAAAAGCAGGTAGATATATGCTCAGAAGAAAATCTAGATTATACCCCAAACTGTTAGCAGAGGACATCTGTTTGGAGACATTCTAAGTGATCATTTCCTGTTTATATTTGTGTCTTTTCTAATATATTTACATAATCAAAAATTAACACAAGGTTTTTCTTAAAATATATAATCTTAACAACAACTGAAATCTTTCAAGTACAGCTAAGTAGTCCCTGGTCTCCTCCCCATAGCACTCAGGAAACCATTGAACGTTATGAAGCTGGGAAACTATATTAACCTCCTTAAGCTATACCAGGCAGAAGCTTACGACAAACACTGCCCGAACCTAGCAAGATGGGTGTTTTCTAAAAGTGTGAATACTGCCTTCCTTTCATTTCATATTAAGTGTAGAAAAAGCAATGACTTAGTCAAGAAGCCATAATCTCAGAAATAATCTTTTATTTTCTAGAAGATTCTGCAATCACAGAACTTTTTACTTGTATTGTTGATTTTAGCACTCATTTTCTTGAATTATATCTTCTTAGATGATCTTCCTCCCCACTCCCTTCAGTCATTCATTCATATAACCAGTGTTCTCCCCCAGTGTTCATTGTACGCTTCCTGTGTGCTTGGCAGTAGAGAATATATAAGTGAAAAAAAGAAAAGACAGAAATCCCTGTCCCTGTGAAGCATACATTCCAGTGGAAACAGACAAATGAAAAAAAAAGTAAATTATAAAAATGTAAATAAAAAATTAAAAGGTAAATTATATGGTAGATTAGATGGTGATGCATGTCCTGCAAAAGGAAGTCAAACAAGAGCATAGAAAGTACTGTTGGTGATGGAAGAAGAAAGAAAGGGAAGGCAGCAAAATCACACTGGGCCTTGTGTAGGCCTGAGAAGGATTTTGCTTTTTACCCTGAGATGGAAAGGCATGGGGAGATATTGAGCAGCAAAGTAACATTATCTGACTTATATTTTCAAAACTTCACTCTGACTGCTCTATGAATAGTCCAAGAGGGCTAACTGGATAGGATAATTATAGGATAATATACCAGGATAATAATATAAAGATAATTGTAGAGAGACTACTTAAGGAAGCTACTGGAAAACCCAGGTGAGAGATGATGGTGGCTTAGACTAAGGTGGTATTGGGGTAAGTGGTAAAAAGTGGCCAAATTCTGGGAATATTTTGATGGTAGACCCAACAGGTTTTCCTGATGGAGTGAGTGTGAAGTATGAGAGAGGAGGTAAGGATGATTTAAAGGTTTCTGGCCAAGGCAAACTGGAAGCATAAGGGGCTGTTGATTGAAATAGGGATGACTACAGTGGTAATTGGGAAATCAGGTGCCCAATCTGGGATATCTTTATTTTATTTTATTTTATTTTATTTTGAGAGGGAGAGAAGGAGAGGGAGAGGGAGAGAAGGGGGGAGGGAGGGGGAGGGGCAGAGAGTATTATGTAGGGTTCAATCTTACAACCCTTAGATGATGACCTGAGCTGAATCAAGAGTTGGACGGTTAACCGACTGAGCCACCCAGGCGCCCCTGGGATATTTTAATTTGAAATGCGTATTATATATCCAAAGAAGGTTTGGGGTAGGCAACTGGGTATACAAACCCAGAGTTCGAGGAAGAGGTCCAAGCTGAATAAAAATATATTCACTGGCATATAGATGGTATTTTTAACATCCCTGGACTCATATGACCAAGGAGGAAGAAAGTATAAAGAAGAAGAGAAGAGGCCAGAGTCCTGGGTACTCTAATGCTAAAGGTCGGGTTGATGAAGAGGACCCAGCAACAAGAGATGGAGAATGAATTTCAATTTCCACTGATAAGAGGAAAATTAGGAGAGTAAGGAGTCCTGAAAGCCAAGAAATGGCCAAGTTTCAGATGAAGAGAGGGATCAACTGTGTCAAATGCCACTGATAGGTCAAGTAAAATGAGGACTGGTGATTGCCCAGTAAATACAGCAACACAATGTGAGGTCATTGGTAGCCTTGATAAGAGACGAGTCTCTGTGGAATGTGGAGATAAAAGCCTGATTGGAGTATTTTCAAGAAAGAATGGAAAGAAAGGATTCGAAGACTATGTGAAGTTTTGTCGCAAAGTGGGGCAGGAAAATGGGGCAGTAGCTGGAGGGCATGAGGTCAAGGTAGAGGTTTTCTTTATGATAACATCATACTTATATGTTGATGGCAATGATCCAGTAGGGAGGGAAATTACTGATAGAGTAAAGAGGGGAGACTTGCTGAAGCTATGTCCTTGAAGGTAAAAAGGGATGGAATCTAGTGCACAAGTGGAGAACTTTAGCTTTTATAAGAGCAATAGACCATTCATCTATGGCAACAGAAGCCAACACAGAGTTCTTGGCCACAGACACTTGTAGGTAGATATTTGTGATGGTGGGAACTTGTGGAAATTCTCTTCTAATCTTTCTCCCTTCCTCCAACCCAATCCATGTCCCTTATAGTTTCTAGAACAATCTTCCTAAAATGCAAATCTACTTAGGTAGCTCCCACTTACAACTTTTTCACTCACAGGCTAAAATCTCAAACAGCTAGCATGGCATACAAGGTTCATTATGACCTGGCACCTGCTGGACTGCCCAAGCGATCTCTGCTATGTTCCTGTGGGCACCTTCCACTGGCACCATAGATAACTACAGAAATTCTGTAAATGTCCCAAAGTCTCTGTCAGCGTCATGCCTATTCATACATTGCTTTACCTCCCTTCGAAGACTTTCCCCATTTGAAACTCATGTTATACCTTACCAATTCTTATTTGGCCTTCAAAAGTCTATAATCTACACTGGATGAATTTATCGCCTCTCCTTCTTCTCCCATGATATTTATTATATTATGGTCATTTCAGTTGTTTTTCTTGCCTATCCTATCTCATTAAATTGTGAATTTTCTTCATAGTTGAGGTCATGTTCACCTCAGAACCAGAAGAGAGAACCTAATACGTAAGTAGATACTTGACAAAGAGAGTACTTTTCTGACTCCTATCCTACTCCCAACCTCTAGACTGGCACCTAGGGACAGGATTTTGTCTCGTCTTTGGATCCCTGGTACACATTGTATTATATGTAATACAATTCTCCATACAGTAATAGGAAGTTCGTATTTCAGCTTTCTGTTCTCAGTCTGTACTTTCTTTGGGTGATAACATTCACTTCCATGACTTAATTTCCATCTGTATGTTTATGACTTTTGGATCTATCTATCTTTGGCTCAGATTTCTCTTCTGGCCTCCAGTCTTTTTTTTTTTTTTTTTTTTTAAGATTTTATTTATTTATTTGAGAGAGAGAATGAGATAGAGAGAGCATGAGAGGGGGGAGGGTCAGAGGGAGAAGCAGACTTCCTGCTGAGCAGGGAGCCCGATGTGGGACTCGATCCCAGGACTCCAGGATCATGACCTGAGCCAAAGGCAGTCGCTTAACCAACTGAGCCACCCAGGCACCCCTGGCCTCCAGTCTTAATATAGACAGCCATCTACTATCTCCACCTGGATGTTTCACAGGCTCAAACTAAGTTTATAATCCTACCTTCAAGCCTGCTTTTTCTCCTATAATCCCTATCTCAGTGAGACAATCAATGTCCTTCCAGTTGCCTAGGATGTAAAATTAGGAATTGACCTTGACTTTTCCCTCTCTTTCACCTGTTTCAGTGAGTCATAAGATCCTGGCAATCCTGGCATCATATCTATTAATATAATACCTCTGGAATTCATCGACTCCTCTCATTCCACTGTCACTCTTAGTTCAAGCCCATGTATGTTCACTTAAACTATGCTAACTGGGCTCTCTGTATAACTCCAGACTGCTCCTCCTTTGTTCTATTCTCTGGTCTGCAATCAGAGAGATTTTTGTTCAAAATGTTCCTTTAAGCATTAACATTATAATTATTATCATCATTCTTTGGTTTAGGATTATTTTTCTTTCTTACTGAAAGGAACCTAAAAAAGAAAATAATTTCTATTTTTAACTATTTATAATTCCATCATTTCAGCTGAATTCTCATTTTTGTATATTACTTTCTAATCCTTGTCCATTATGCTTGCTATTATGTGAAGTATACATATGGTTTTCCCTATAATTTAGAATCAACTATACCTAAATAATTTTCCATGCCTAAACTAAACATTTAAATCAGGTCATGTGCATAATTTCATACTTCTAAAGTGTCTTTATAATTATCATTTTATGCATAATATTTATTAAACAAGAACACATAATTGCATGTATAATTTTGAATATGATGAAAGCTACAAAAGAAAAGAAGAAGGTACTTTGAAAGAAGATAATGGACAGGGTCTAATTTAGCTACGGAGTTAGGGAAGTGTTCCAGGAATTAAAAGAATGCCCGCGAGACTGACAGAGAGCGAGCCAGAGGAAGAGTTTCCTGAATGAGATTGGAGAGTCAGAGTGGTCATATGATGTGCAAATGAAAGAAATGGAAATATTTTAAGCTGAGGAGTAAAATGAATTTATTCACATTTTAAACTTTTTATTTAGAAATAATTTCAAACTTAGAGAAGAGTTACAAGAAATGGCATTTATAATTCCCATATCCCCTTCATCCAGATTTATAAATTTTAACATTTTGATTTCTTTTATCAATTGCTCTTTCTCTGTGTGTGTACGCATTTATATACACACACACTCATCCTCATTACTCACAGATTCCGTGTTTGCAAATTTACCTACTTCATAAAACTTACATAAGTGGTGCTCTACAAATCAGTACTTAACAGTACTTTCGAGGCCTTTTACAGGCACATGCAGAGCAGCGAAAAATCTGAGTTGCCAAATACGCATGTTCCCAGATGAGGTCAAACAAGGTGGTGCTCTGCCTTCTTGTTTCAGCTCTCCTACTGTAACCAGTTGTCCTTTTTGCTGTC